TTGGTTGGTTCGCTCACATAGTAGGATAAGTGTGGGTGCCACTCGCGGCCCGCTTTGGGTCGTGACATATAGTTTTTTCACTTAATAATTCTGGGTGCACCTAAGGTGCTAGATTTATGGGCTAATATACATGAAAAATGACAAAAGTCTTGATAATTCTAATGATGGCTCATAAATGCGAAAATATGCATGAAAAAATAGTAGAACTCTATGTAATGCTTCTCCTCCTCGTTACAGATGTCCTTATATAATTTTTCTGTAAAAATTTGGGTGCTCCAAAGGTGATAGATCAAGGGCTAATACATGCGAAAAATGATGAGTTAATTCTTAAGAATTGGTTTGTAAATGAAAAAATATACGTAAATAAAATGATAGGATTATACGTAATGCTTTCCAAACTCATTACAGAGGTCTTCGTATAGATTTTTCAGGAAAAAAATTGGGTGCCCTAAAGGCCCCATATCAATAGACGTGTACACATGAAAATATCAAAGGTCGGATAATTACTTAAAATTAGATCGTAAATGTGAAAATATGCGTGGAAAAAGGTGAGAGTGTAATGCTTCCCAATTCATTACAAAGGTCGTCATATAATTCTTTTGGAAAATAAATTCGGATATCCCAAAGGCACCAAATCTATGGGCTATTCACATGTAAGACGGTAAAATCAGATAATTTCTAAAAGTTAGCCCTTAACTGTGAAAATATGCGTCTAAAAATGGTGGGACTATACATAACGCTTCCACAAGTAATTAGAGGGACCACATATAATTGAATTGTTGAGTCAATGCACGTCTATCAAGAAAACTAGTTTAGGACATAAAATAAATATTATTTTCCACTTTTTAGATATTATCAACCTATTCTTAAAAATATAAATAATTTAAAGTAAAATTATAAATATGAGAAATAAGTCACTTAAAATTATCAATTAGAAGATCCAAATGAGGCGCAAAATGGGGAAAAAAAGTTCAACAATTGTCTTAAATTTTGAACAATTCATTTATTTTGTACTATGAAAAAAGTCTAACAATTCACTTATTTTAAAACAGAGAAATTAATAATATATATAAAAATAATGGCTAACAAGTTAGAGAGAATAAATTTTTTTGACCATCTTTTTTTCTTTTTACTAGATTTGGTTTGACCATTTTTTTTAAAATCTATTTTAATTCAAATAAGTATTAACAAATCATGATTCACTTGCCATAAAGAACCTTTTCATGAGATTATAGTAATTACAATAGATTTTCTTTTACCCCTATATAATGTTGTATAATACAATGTTCTAAAGCAAAATCAATTAAAAATTATAATTTATAGTTAGTAGAAATTGCAGTGCGCTATTATGAAGTTTTCAACATTTTTTGCAGCTTTCTTGCTAATCATCATGGGTAATTGTCCCTTCTTTTTATTAAAAAATAATTATTTCTCTCTATAGCTCTAATCTTTTGCCAAATAATTTGTTGTTTGATAGAACTCTTTTAATAACTTATCTCTTAATAGATCAATGATAAGATTTGTTATTTTAATATAAAATATATCCGTCATTAATTATATTCTTAATCATGTTAAATAATTTTGCATGTTGCTAATTGTTGATATCATCAATGATTTTCCCCTTCAATTCTTACTCTCTTTGATCCTAATTTATTGCTAAATTACTCTTTATTTAGTTAGTAATTTTTTATAACTTACCGCAAAATAGATCTAATGATAATTTTGTGTTGTATATGTACAATGATTATCTAATAATTCGTTGTTAAAATTTGTATTTTTCTTTGAAATTATTAAACTTATTGAATTTGAGCAATTTGGTTCATAATGGATTATGTGTTAGTTCAAGGTTTGGTAATAATTCCTTATTTGTAGATGTGGTATTTAAATTTTTATACGAAAGTTCAATTCTAAAGCTGAGGAGCTTCCTATCATTTTGATGTGGTATATTAAATATATGTATAATTATCTAGCTATATAATTAATTTTTTATATACAAAGTGATGATTTATTTTCTGATATGCAGTTGCAAATAATTCACTCATCAAGGTGACTACTGCGCATCACTGTGATTCAGCCAGTGATTGTCAAGTAGTTTGCCATGATCAAAAACCACTTTGTATTCTACATGTTTGTGCATGTATTGGTAAACTAGACGAAGATTATACACGTCTGGAGAAGCGCAAATTAAATATGTATTGATAAGTGCGTAAACAAAAAATAAAAGATATTTTATTTATGATTCAATGTCTTTACTCTATTATTGTTCGAAAGTTTGGAAAATAAGACGCATTATGATCTATGAATAATTGTTGCACCTTTATTTTTGGATTAATTTATCTTTTTAAGTTCTTACTTGATATGTCTAGTTAATTTTTTTGAATTTTGTAATTTTAGTTCGATCAATTTTAATTGATTTATACTTATCTTAAATAATTTATTATAAATCACTCATAAACGTGACATATCCTTATGTATTGTACCTTAATTCTGAGCCTATTTGTCTATAGGATTAAAGATTTCTATTTTCAAAAGAAATTTGGGCCAAGGCACGCGAACACAACCTCACAATTTGATTAATTCTCTTTATCTAAGGCATAAAATTTTAACCTTATTTAAGACGAAATATCATCCGCATTCTTACTAAAGATTAATACTTGAAACAATTTATTTTGGATGATTCAATGTCTTTTCTCTAGTATTTGTAGGAAGATGTATTATGGGGTATGAAGAATTGTTTGCACTTTTTTTTGGATTAGCTTATATTTTTAAGTCCATACTCGATATACCTTATGAATCTTTAATAAAAGAAATAAATAAACTTTACATTAGGAGTGATAATTCCATTTCGAGTGAGGCTAATTTGGTCATTTCATATATTATTCGGTACTTCTTGTGCTTGTGCCCCTCTTTACTTAGGGGTGATCATTCCATTTTAAGTGAGGTTAATTTGGCCATTTCATATATTATTTAGTGCTTCACGTGTGTGTGCCCCTCATTTACATTTTTTAGGCAATAATTTCAAAAAGATAATTGTGCATGTTTATGATTTTACTTTAAATTATTGTTTATATTTTTTGAAGAATTTTTATAACGGAATGGTTGAAAAGTTGTGATCAGTTGTTTAAAGATAATTGGAAAGTTGTGTTCAATTTATGTCTTAAATATTTTACTTAATGAATATACAATGTCATAATCCCTCCGTCCACAATTATTTGTCAGGGTAACATCATGCACTCCCCTCAATAAAAATTTAGTATAAGATATAATTTGACTAATATAACCCTACTATATCAAGAATATCAAAAGCTTGTATAACTTTTCAATTGAACAAAATAGTGTAATTATTAAGGGTAGAATTGAAAAAAAAAAGACCAATTATTTCTTTATTGTTAAAATTGACAATTAATTTGGATATCTATTTTGTAGTTTACTTGCCAAACAATTGTCGACGAAGGGAGTAATAATTTATTTATATTGAAAAAGAAGACATTTTTCGTTTACAATTAAATGATAATTGTCATTAACACATTTGTAGCAAATGATTATTTAAATAATACCCCATCCACTTTTAATTGTCAATGTTTTCCTTTATAGAATCTAATTATAAGAAGTTTGACTACTATTTATAATATTATTTTTATTATTATTAATGTGCAAAATATTTCAATTTATAGTACTTTTCGATATTAATGTGCAAGAAATTGTGATAATATACGTAATGCTACCTCAACTCATCAAGAAGGTCCTCGTATAGTTTTTTCACTAAATAATTCTTGGTGCCCCTAAGGTGCCAGATTTATAGGATAATACACATGAAAAATGACAAAAGTCTGATAATTCTAAAGATGGCTCATAAATGCGAAAATATGCGTAAAAAAATAGGAGAACTCTATGTAATGCTTCTCCTCCTCGTTACAGATGTCCTTATATAGTTTTCTTGTAAAAAATTTGGGTGCTCCAAAAGCGATAGATTCAGGGCTAATACATGCGAAAAAATGATGAGTCAATTCCTAAGAATTGTTTAGTAAATGCAAAAATATACGTGAATAAAATAACAGGATTGTACGTAATGTTTTCCCAACTCATTACAGATGTCTTCGTATAGATTTTTCAGGAAAAAAAAAGTTGGATGCCCTAAAGGCCCCAGATCAATAGACGTATACATATGAAAATACTGAAAGTCAGATAATTACTTAAAATTGGATCGTAAATGTGAAAATATGCGTGAAAAAAGTGTGAGTGTAATTCTTCCCAATTCATTACAAAGGTCGTCATATAGTTCTTTTAGAAAATAAATTCGGGTATCCTAAAGGCACCAGATCTATGAACTATTACATATGTAAGACGGTGCAAATCAGATCATTCCTAAAAGTTAGCCCGTAAAAGTGAAAATATGCGTTTAAAAATGGTGGGACTATACATAATGCTTACACAACTAATTAGAGTGACCACATATAACTGAATTATTGAGTCAATGCACGTCTATCAAGAAAAGTAGTTTAGGACATAAAATAAATATCATTTCCCAATTTTTAGATATTCTCAACCTATTGTTGAAAATATAAATAATTTAAAGTAAAATTATAAATGTGAAAAATAAGTCACTTAAAATTATCATTTAGAAGATCCAAATGAGGGGCAAAATGGGGGAAAAAGTTCAACAATTGTCTTGAACTTTGAACAATTCATTTATTTTATGCTATGAAAAAAATTTAACAATTCACTTATTTTAAAATAGAGAAATTAATAATATATATAAAAATAATGGCTAATAAGTGAGAGGGAATAAATTTTTTTGACCATCTTCTTTCCTTTTTACTAGATTTGGTTTGACCATTTTTTCAAAATCTATTTTAATTCAAATAAGTATTAACAAATCATGATTCACTTGCCATAAAAAACCTTTTCATGAGATTATAGTAATTACTATAATTTTTATTTTACCCCTATATAATGTTGTATAATACATTGCTCCAAAGCAAAATCAATTAAAAACTATAATTTATAGTTAGTATAAATTGCAGTGCGCTATTATGAAGTTTTCAACATTTTTTGCAGCTCTCTTGCTAATCATCATGGGTAATTGTCCCTTCTTTTTTAAAAAATAATTATTTCTCTCTATATAGCTCTAATCTTTTGCCAAATAATAAAAGCTTTTAAATAACTTATCGCTTAATAGATCAATGATTAAATTTTGTTATTTTAATATTAAATTTACCCGTCATTAATTATATTCTTAATCATATTAAATCAATTTCCGTGTTGCTAGTTGTTGAGATCATCAATGATTTTCCCCTTCAATTCTTACTCTCTCTGATCCTAATTTATCGCTAAATTACTCATTATTTAATTATTAGTTTCTTATAACTTACCGCAAAATAGATTTCATGATAATTTTTCGTTGTATATGTACAATGATAATCTAATAAGTCGTCGCTAAAATATGTATTTTTCTTTGAAATTATTAACCTTATTGAATTTGAGCGATTTGATTCATAATGGATTCATGTGTTAGTTTGATATTTGGTAATAACTCCTTATTTGTAGATCTGTCGTTTAATTTTGATACGAAAGTTCAATTCTAAAGATGAGGAGCTTTCTTTTTATTCTATATATAAATAAATATATGTATAATTATCTAGTTATATTATTAATTTTTTATACACAAAATGATGATTTGTTTTCTTATATGCAGTTGCAAATAATTCATTCATCAAGGTGACTACTGCGCACCACTGTGATTCAGCCGATGATTGTCAAGTAGTTTGTCATGATCAAAAACCACTTTGTATTCTTCATGTTTGTGCATGTATTGGTAAACGAGACGAAGATTATACACGTCTGGAGAAGGGCAAATTAAAGATGTATTGATAAGTGCATAAACAAAAAATAAAGAATATTTTATTTATGATTCAATGTATTTCCTATATTATTTGTTAGAAAGTTTGGAAAACAAGACGCATTATGATATATGAATAATTATTGCACCTTTATTTTTGGATTAATTTATCTTTTTAAGTTCTTACTCGATATGTCTAATGAATTTTTTTGAATTTTGTAATTTTAGTACGATCAATTTAATTGATTTATACTTATCTTAAATAATTTATAATAAATCACTTAAAGACGTGACATCTTCTTATGTATTGTACCTTAATTCTGAGCCTACTTGTCTATAGGATTAAAGATTTCTACTTTCAAAAAAAAATTGGGCCAAGACACGCGAACACAACCTTGCTATTTGATTAATTCTCTTTATTTAAGGCATAAAATTGTGACCTTATTTAAGACGATATATTATCCGTGTTCTTACTAAAGTTTAATACTTGAAACAATTATATTTATTTTGGATGATTCAATATCTGTAGAAAAGTTTGAAAAACAAGATGTATTATGGGATATGAAGAATTGTTTGCACATTTTTTTGGATTAGCTTATATTTTTAAGTTCATACTCGATACACTTTATGAATCTTTAGTAAAAGAAATAAATCAACTTTACAATAGGGGTGATAATTCCATTTTGAGTGAGGCTAATTTGGTCATTTCATATGTTATTTGGTTCTTCTTGTGCTTGTGCCCCTCATTTACATTTTTAGGCAATAATTTCAAAAGATAATTGTGCATGTTTGTGATTTTACTTTAAATTTTTATTTATATTTTCCATAATTGTTTGAAAATAACCGGAAGGACAATTGAAACTTTGTGTTCAATTTATGTCTTAAAAGCTTTTACTTAATGGATATACAATGTCATACTCACTACGTCCAAAATTATTTGTCAGGGTAAGGTCATGCATTCCCCTCTATGAAAATTTAATATAAGCTATAATTTTTGACTAATACTTTACTGTACCAAGAATATCAAAAATCTATATACTTTACTGTACCAATAATATCAAAAATTTAATATAAGCTATAATAGAGTAATTATTAGAGAAGAATCTAAAAGAAAGACTAATTATTTCTTGATTGTTTAAATTAATAATTAATCTTAGACATCTATTTTTAGTATACCTGCCAAACAATTGTGTACGAAGGGAGCAATAATTTGCTTATTTTGAAATAGAAGACATCTTTCGCTTACAATTAAATGATAATTGTCATTAATACATTTGTAGCAAATGATTATTCAAATAATACCCGATCCACTTTCAATTGTCATAGTTTTCTTTTTTAGAGTTAAATCACAAGAACTTTGATTAATATTTTATGATATATTTTTTCATTATTAATGTGCAAAAATTATAATTTATAGTAGTATTCATATAATTTTTTAATATCTAATTTTTTATTTGAGATATCGAATTAATATAATCTCATTTAACTTTTAAGATTACTTAAATTGACTTTGAAAAAATATAATATGACAATTAAAAGTGAACGGAAGAATTATATAATATTCATAAAAATAATGGCTTAAAATGGAGAGAGAATTAATTTTTTTTGACCAAACTTAATGGGAGAAATTCTAAATATTATTCTTATTGTTGTTTAGTAGATTTGCTTTGACCCATTTTAAAATTTATTTAATCCAAATAAGTATTGTCAAATCATATATAAACTCACCTTTTAATTAAAACCCCTTCATGAGATTATATTAATTATAAGAGATTTTCTTTTACTCCTATGTTGTATCATGTATAACACATTGCTCCAAATCAAAATCAATTAAAAATTATAATTTATAATTAATAAAAATTACAGTGCGCTATTATAAAGTTTTCAACATTTTTACAGTTCTCTTGCAAATCATTATGGGTAATTGTCTCTTTTTTTAAAAAAAAAATTATTTCTCTCTAATTCTAATCTTTTGCCAAATAATTTGTTTTTTGATAGGATATTTTAAAAATAATTTATCTCTTAATAGATCAATGATAAACTTTTGTTATTTTAATATATAATTTTGTATACTATTATTTTTTACTAATTTTAAATAATTTTCCATGTTATTAATTGTTTATATATCATCAATGTTTGTCCCTCTTTCAATTCTTACACTCTCTAATCCTAATTTATCACTAAATAACTCATTATTTAATTATTAATTTTTTTATATGTGCAATGATAATTAAATAATTTGTGGCTAAAATATGTAATTTTTTTCTTTGAAATTAATAACCTGATCGAATTTGAGCAATTTGGTTAAGAATTGATTTATGTGTTAGTCCGTGGTTTGGTACTCATTTATAGATCTGTCAAATTTTTATTTGAAAGCTCAATTCTAAGTAGTTAATTTTGATAAAAAGATTTTAAGGAGGAGCTCACTAACAAAAGAGAAGTTGTCTTATCATTTTATATATTAAAATACTGTTATTATTATCTTGCTAGATAATTATTTATATATAAATAGTGATTTGTTTTCTTATATGCAGTTGTAAGTAATTCATTTATCAAGGTGACTGCTCTGCACCACTATAATTCAGCTCCCATGATTGTCAAGTATTTTATCCTGATCAAAAACCCCTTTGTATTCTTCATCTGTGCATGTGTTGGCAATCGAAATGAATATCATAGACGTCTGAAGAAAGACAAATTAAATATATATTGATAAGTGTGTAAATAAAGCAAAAATAAAAAATATTTATTTATGATTCAATGTCTTTCGAAAACAAGATGCATTATGAGATACAAGAATTTTTGCACTTCTTTTTTGGGATTAATTTATTTTTTTAAGTTCTTACTCAATACACCTCACGAATCTTTAATTAAAAAAAAAGAGGAACTTTTACTTTGATTTGTGAAAATAAAGATGGAATAAGAAATTATATTTACCGGAGAAAAAGTGTGAAATATCTCTCGAATCTTAAAAAAAATTATTATAAATCATTTTTGACTTAATCACTTAATTTCTCTAAATGATCTGCTTAGAAACAAAACTTTTTAAATAAGAGTTGACTACTAAATGAATGAATTTATTTATAGTCATCATTTATAATTGAGATATAGGGTTTTAAGTTATTTTTTTAATTTTTTAATTAAAATAAAATAAATCTAAATTAATCTTGGATAAATGGGTAAATTTTAGGTTTACCAAACATAAAATCATATTTGTATATTATAACTATAGTTTATATAAGGGAAAATTGTATATAATAGCAAACTAATAACCTAAATTAAATGGAATAGCTAGGGTTTGATTTAATTGTGCTCCATAGCAAACATTAGCTAAAATTTGCCAGCGTCCCTCTCCCAAAAATCTCGCTCGCCACTCTCCATTCTCGCTCGCCTCTCTCGCTTTATACACAGAAGTGTATAATTCTGTTTCTGTTTTGTATAAAGCGAGAGAAAATTGTATATACACATGCAAAAATGTATATCTTCGTGTTATACACTTAATTATACAATTTACGAACATTTTACTTCAAATATTGCAGAGAAAAAGGCCAACGAATTATACAATTGTGAATTATACAATTGCAGTGAAATACAATTTTCTCTAGCTTTATACAACAGAAGTGTATATATTTGTGTTTCTGTTTTTGTATAAAGCGAGAAAAACATATATCTTCTTGCTATACACTTATAATTATGCAATATACATACATTTTAATTCTATTCAACTGTATGCAAAACAAATTATATAATTGCAGCAAAATAGGCCAGCGAATTATACAATTTAGGCCAGCGAATTATACAATTTAGACCAACGAATTATACAATTGTATATGTATAGCAAATTATACAGTTTTATGTTTGCTATGGAGCGCAATTATGCAAAGTTTGCTATAGCATACAAATATGATTTTTTTGTTTGCTATATGTGAAAGTTGCCCATTATATAATTGCGTTCCATAGCAAACTTTATGTTTGTTATGACTATTAATTTGTATATTTCGGTATACAAATGGGTCATGTATTTGTAGATTTTGATCTATTTGTACTTTTTTGTATATAAATAGGTCATGCATTTGTATATATCGATATACAAATGGGTTATACATTTGTCTATTTTGGTCTTTGTATATTTCGGTATACAAATGGGTCATACATCTGTATATTTCGATATACAAATAGATCTTGTATTGTATGTTTTGGTCTATTTGTATATTTCGATATACAAATGGAATGACAAAAAACATGACATTTTCTGCTGCGAATTACAAATAAAAGAAATCGTGACTATAACATTTAATTTAAACTAATAATTTGCTATTTCATACAATTTTCTCATTATTAACTCACCTTTTAAGACCCCTTCATGAGAATATATTAATTACAAGAGATTTTCTTTTACCCCTATACATGTAGGTCGAAAGGGAGTAGAAAATTATTTATAAAATAAGTTCGAGAGGAGGGGGAGGGAGTAATTGAACTTTAGTATAATATGCAAAATATGGTAATTTATGCATAAATTACCATATTCTACATTATTTCTTAATGCGATTTTCATTATTACGAGATTTAATAAAGTAAAATGAAGTACAAATTTAAACACATGGCATGCATGTATTGACTTGGTGTAAACACCCGGTGCGGATAAGTCTTACGCAAGTACTAACTAATGAAGAGTAAAATTGAAAGAACACTCTAAATGTCGTCTTGAAAACTGAACAATTAACTTAATTTAACAAATAAAAAATGTCTCAACAATTAAATTAATATTTTATAGTTTGACGTTGATAACAATAGATAAAACTATGATTTAATATTTTTCTTAAATAATTATAATTTAGTTTAATTTTCCTCCGTATCATAGTTGAACCAGTCTAATTCTCAGAAAGTTATAATTTCCTTATTTGATTTTTTATAAAAAAAAATTATCAACATACTAAGTTTTTAATTCTTCTTTACTACAGTCTATAACTATATATTATATTAAATAAGTAAAATATTTAATAAGATTTTTTATGACTACATATTTAGACCAAAAGATGAACTGGATTTGAATGGATTAAAATTAATTAATTAATTAATTAATGATTGAATTGTTAATCTGGTAAAATTTTAACCATTAAATGATCGATCATTAATTTGGTCATAGTTTCATATG